GAACGGTGGTACAGTATAGTTCATTTCTACAATTTTTCTTATCCCGATTGGATTATATTGATGTTGAGTCTTAGAACCTGTAGAATCTAACACTGAAGGATATAGGCCTACAGATCCTCGACAAAGTAAGTTGCTGTAGAAAAAGAAATATCAAATTTGTATTACTGCATGTGGCTATATATCACCTCTTAATTGTCCTTGCCTTTTCTTTTTCTTTCGTTTTTCTTCTCTGCTGCCGCCGCTACTGCTACTAACTACTACTACTACTATACTACTACTACTACTACTACTACTACTACTACTACTACTACTACTACTACTACTACTAATATATACTACAGTACTGATACTACTACTACTACTACTATACTACTACATTACTACTAATATATATATATATATATATATACTACTACTACTACTACTACTACTACTATTACTACTACTACTAATATATACTACTACTACTAATATATACTACTAGTACTGATACTACTAATCATATATACTACTACACTACTACTCCTAATATATACTACTACTAGTACTGATACTACTACTGCTGCTGCTACTACTACTGCTGCTGCTGCTGCTACTACTACTACTACTACTACTAATACTACTACTACTACTACTACTACTAATATATACTACAGTACTGATACTACTACTACTACTACTACTATATATACTACTAGTACTGATACTACTACTAATACTCCTTATATATACTACTACTACGTACTCCTAATATATACTACTACTAGTACTGATAATACTTCTGCTGCTACTACTACTACTACTACTACTACTACTACTACTACTGCTGCTGCTAAGTACTACTACTACTACTTCTACTACTACTATACTACTACTACTACCAGTACCACTATCACTACGACTACCACTTCTACCAATATATACTATTATATTCCAAGTACTAAGAATCTTGCTCGACGATTGGTCAAAAGTTAATCACATGATGAAACATAGTTTCGCTCATGATGGGAGAAAAAAAGTTTGTTACACTTTCTTTGGTGAAAGTGCGTTGCACTGTGTACTTTCTTCAACGAAGCAGTCGACCACGGGGACCGCGGTGATGTGGCACAAATTACAAATTTAATTTGATACGTTGCGTATATGTACGTTTGTACGTACGTAAATTTGATACGTAACGTATACATACCTACGTTCGTAAGTACCGCATGCACTGTACGAGTTTACGTATCGTACTCCGTTTGCTAGCTACACTGTAACACTAAAAACAGATTGTCTTTCTAGTAGACCCTACCAGTGAAATGTTTCTGATGTGGAATATAAAGCAAATAATCGCCTTTTGGTTTCAGGCGATGGCAAACTATCACTTCCTCGCCGATCTGAATGTATACGCTGTCTTTCCCCAGCTTCGCTTCAGAAAGATAGCTACATCCAGATCGCCTCAGAAGTGATAGTTTGTCCCATCACCTTTACCAACTATTACTATACTATTACTACTACTACTACTACTACTATACTACTACTACTCCTACTATTATTACTACTACTACTACTAATACTACTACTACTACTACTACTACTATACTACTACTACTACTACTATACTACTACTACTACTACTACTACTACTACTACTACTATTCTACTACTTCTACTACCACTACTACTACCGGTACTATGACTTCTACTATTACTGCTGCTACTACCATTACTACAAGTTGAAATGCCTGGTAATGTGGTTTGGAAGGCTGTTCCACATATTCAATATTCTCATACAGAAGAAATGATTATGAATACTGTTGTCTGCTATGCACTATGCCATACGTGCTAGTGGTACTGAACTTAAAGAGAGGAGTCACGCTAGAAAAATATTTTGATCTTTTTAAAAGTCTCAATCATATCACCATTTAAATATTTGTAAATGTGAATTTCATCATGTTTTTTAAGTTTTTTAATTTATACATTGTTTATGTTTCTTTATATCAAACAGTAAAGAGTACTAATTACAAGCGGATATAAAAAGTAAACAGTCAACTGTTTACAAGATGGCCTCTGCAGCTCATGAAGCCAAGATGGAGGATGAGGACAAGCAAGGTAAAAAGTGGATCTTTTTAGGATGATTTTGTGCAATATATGTCTGATACTAGACCTATCCACTCCTTTCAAGTTTCAGTTCGTAAGTTATTTTATCTTCCACAACAAAAAAAGTTCAAAAGTTTAAAAATGAACAAAATGTATATACTGTAAGTTGATCAACTGTGGCAAATTGAAATACAATGAAAATACAATGAAACAAATAATAATGGGTATGAGGATTTAAGATGAGGAAATGAATTGAAACAGGATGGAAAAAATAATACTTATTGTGGAAGGAGCCAACAGCAAGACAGTTTAATATTCTTAAATGCGTTGGCACCCAGCAGATGTTCAATTTTTGTATACCCTGTAATAATACTAAATGACAGATTTTATAAGGAAAATTGAGTTATGTTATAGAGCAAAAAATTATATACATTATTATATAAATATATATATTTTATAGACATATATCTATATTTCATCCAAAGATGAAAACTCCTTGATATGAACATTGGTTCTTTCTAGTATAATTGCTGTTATTAAATGGCCATATCAAAATATTGTTCATGTTTTGGATGAGATAAATGGGATAAAAAAGGCATATGTCTCACAGGGGATAGGCACCTTACTTGGAATTGCTCTTTTATCACAAAGTAATTCTAAGAAGTAAAGTTGAAAAAATATTGATTATCACAGATTGAAATAGTGATTTATGAAAAGAGAGATTTTTGCAAAGAAACGAGTGGTTACATCAATTGATTTATTAATTTGATTGAAATTCTTGATTTCATTCAAACTTTCATCAGTCTGCTTCTCTGATTTTCTGCCTAAATTTAGAGTAGTTGTCTATATCAAAGTTGGATTTTTCTTTTTAATTTTATTCGTTTTTGCTGGCAAAAAATAGAAGACTGGAGCAAAAGATTTTTTGTCTAAAGAAATATTTGGCTAAGCAATCATTAAGATCAGGGGGTGTTTCACAAAGATCCTAACTTGAACTTAAAAATTATGGAGAGCCATTAAAATTAAATATATTCAAAAGCAAAAATTCAAATATTTTAGAATTTTCATAAATTCCATATCAAGATCATGAAATCTCCTTGATAATAGAAAATGTGAATGATTTGAATAAACATTCTATGCCTTTTGAAATAACTTTTAACAAATATTTTCATAGATGCTAGTTTTCCATAAATATTAAGTCCAACTTAGAGATAAGTTTGACTTAGGATCTTTGTGAAACACCCCCACAGGGCCATAAATAATTACTGTGCCACCAAGCAGGGATTGAGAAGTACTGTAAAAATTTATATATTGGTTCAATTTTTGCAAATTTTCCTCCTTAAACCTCAGAAGGGAAAACCAATTCCTCGATGGCCTGCATCATGCTAGAGATTGCCACTATCCTCTCCATTGCAACTGTAGACATCACAAACTTCGGCCATTTCCTTGGTTTGTCCGAGAGTAAGGTTGCAGAAATCGACAGCGGTCTGGAAGATCCTAAGAGTAAAATCATCCACATCCTGGAGAGGTTCCGTGATCGTCATGGTGATGATTGGCTGACCAATCTGCAGGAGATTGTCAAGGATAAACTGGAGAGCCCTGATTTGGTGGAAAAACTGGAAAAAGGTTTGTAAAAGGAAACAGAAGATGGTGTTATGATTAAATTCAGATGGAATAACAAAACTTGCCAAACTTATGTGTATGTTGTAGATTTTATGTACGGAAGCGGAATTATGAGTAAAGAAAGAAAAGGATATTAGGGCAATGGGTCTGATCAACTTAGAACTTGGTTTGTCTCAAAATTTGGTTCCAAAACCAGAATTCAAGGTAACGTCTTACCTGTACCAGAAATTTATCTAAATACAACCTTTTTTAGCCCTGGTTTAAAGCTTCTGAATCATGATTTAATTCTCATGATTTTGAATAGACCCCTATGTCAATTTTTAATCGCAGGTAAAACAACAAAGTGGTTAAATTTTAGTATTTATATTTTCCCCCAAAGTGCCATTCTTACAGTGCATAAATCTGTTTTTATTTAATTTGAAATTTAACACGCTTTCCCAGACATGAAAATTGCCTAACTACAATATCAATGTTCCTGCATCTTTATGTACTAATTAAGTAACATCAGAATGTGGTAATTAAAACTGGTCACCTAATTGAACAAGATGATCACAAACCACCAGGCAGTAAAATTCAACTTTTTAGGTAATGGAAAGTATATATATCTAGATTGGAGAACTAATGATCTTTCTGTGTTTGCATGTAGTTTAATTCTATATGATTTGAATGATTTTTTTTTTAAAGTTGTTTTAAACGTGCTTTTTACTTAAAGTGAATTTTTCTCTTGTAACTGAATCATTTGATAGTGAAATTTTCTCTTCGTCTACTTTTACCTTTCTTTTTGTCATCTCTCTCTCCCCCTTTATTCTATTTTCCCTTCTATTCTCACTTTTTTTTTCTCTCTCTCTCTCTCTCTCCCTTGATCTCTCTCTCTCTTTTTTTCTCTCTTCCTCTCTTCCTTTCTCCCTTATAACTATCCTTTCACATTCAACTTTTTCCATAAAATAAAGTCAAACTTGCTTTTACTGACCACCTGTCTATAAAGACCACACATTGTGTATCCCTTTAATATTGTTTTTGATTGAAATGTGTACTCATAGAACCTGTATATAAAATTCACCTGTCTATAAAGACCACTTTTCTTGTTTCCCTGTATACATGTTTCTGTTTATCATATTTTTCTCTTACAGTTACTTATACCAGTGTGCATAGCACAACAAGTAGTGCAGGTCCTGCTATAAACAAGGAGAGTCTTGTGGTTGAACCTACCAAATCTGGGTCAGACCAGGGTCATGAGGGCAGCAGTCGTCATAGCTCCGCCTCTGCCTCTGCGTCTGGGTGGGACATGGGGTCAGGTAGCAGACCTAGTCATGGCAACGACGACACTTCGTCAGAGAGCTTTGAGCGATTGTCTGAAGAGAATGTGTTTCGATCAAGAGATGGAGAGCAACCCAGCAATGAGGAGGTACAGATTGATATTATCACTGACAGTTTATCATTTCTGCTTTGCTTCAGACAAATTATTCGGGTGAACATCGTGATACTCATTTTATGCCTCTGCCACTGAAGGTGTTGCAGGAGCCATGTTTTTGAGTTTTCTGTTGGTCTGACCAGCTTTTGGATAACTTGAGAACCATGAAATGAAATCTGATCAAACTTGGATAGTGTATGAGTGAGCATTTAAACATGAACTGATTTTATAGTGGGTGAAAGAGGTGAAAGGTGAAAGTTCACAGAGTCATAAAAGTGTTTAAAAATACCAGAAAATATCTTGTTACTGCAAATATTGTGAAAGCATTGAATCAATTCATACTAAACTTGAATGAAGTATGTTTGAGCATGCAAGGATGAACTGATTAGATGTTAGGTGTAAGAGGTCATAGGGAAATATCATAGGTTCATGGAAGCTAGGTAATGAAATCCAGTTACTGTGAAATTTTAATTAAAACTCAACCAGTGTCGACCAAACTCAGCTCAAGTATGTAAAATCTTAAAATTAATCAACTTAAAAGCATTTGGTTTCATGAGGTCAGATGTGAAAGCTCACAGGATCATCGATCAATGAATTCACATGTAGGACAAAGCATATTTAATAGAGATGTGGCCACCTTTATCTTGTTGAATATATAAGAAAATAGGACAGCAAATATATACAGATGCCTCGATCACTGGGAAATGTTACATAGAATTGCATTTTTTGTCCTGACTGCAGTATCATAACTTCTGTTTTATTCAAAGGCTATCAAAGGGATGCATTATGATATTTGTCTTATTGTGATGGTACGACATTGCATGGCTCCAGTGACATCTGCTCCAAGCTTCATTTGAACAAAAGTAAAAGGGTTATGCTTAGGGTTGGTAGATTGTTTTAGATTAGGGGAGATATACTGTTAGGTCCAAGGATGAAGTTAGACATTTGGGTAGTACGGTAGGTAATTGATCACAGAGCAATTGTCAAAAGAGGAAACGCTGTGCAACCCTTTTCTTATTTCCCTGATAGATTCCGCATCAATCCTTGATCACCCTGAGATGTCCCTCCAGATCACGAAGGTCGGCGAGGCTCTTCAGGTCGTCTCTAATCTCCTTGGTAACGTGGAAGGCATCAGTCAGCTCTCACAGGTCATACCACAGATCCTCCGTCTCGTCCGACAGATGAAATCACAAAAGGTGAGAACCACAGTACAGTAGCTTGGGGCCATATGCAAATGGTAGATCCCAAGGCTTTAAGCCCCTCTCTACTAGTTTGGCCAGGATGGATTAGACCTCCCTGCATGGTCACCGACATGTGCTTATCTCATCAAATCAGCTCTTAATTGACATAAGAAAAAGGGGATCATGGGGGACCACTGGTCTCCAATTAGGCATTGTTTGATATATAGAGGGCGCAAGTAGCTATAAGTACCGCAGCGGGGCTTTAAGGAATGACATTTCCGGTAATTTTCAATTAAAAAATAAAAGAATATGAGAGACATTTTAATAAAAATATACAAATTAATGACAGAATATATACACTAGTACACCTGATTTCAACTATTCATCAAATTGCTGAAATATTGAGTATTCAAAAAATAAAAATAATTTTTTTTTTTTTTGGGGGGGGGGGGGGGGGGAATACCAAAAACTTGACCTTCATATGTCATTCTGTTGCAAAATTCAATATTTCATAAATTTGATGAATTTTCGATAGGAAGCAGATGTTGTGAAATTACTACCTCGTATTAGTTAATATGGGAGATGTGAGTTGGTCTAGCAGTTATGTCCGTGGTACGGTCAGCTCTCTGTCTTTGCCTACAAACTGACTCAGCGGACCCCTGTTTGAGACTGAGTAATGTCTTTCGAAATGGTGACGTTAAAGGTCGGTCCCCAGATCATCTCTAATTGATACACATCTGTAAAAACCCAAGTTACACACATATCACATCAATAATTTACAGATATTTACTAAGATGTATTAGTATACAAATAATAAATGTTTATGAGTCCAATATAGAACGTTAATATTTCGACGAATGAAAATATTTGCACTATTGAACAAATAAAAAAAAAATTGTTTGAACATTCGCTGAATAGAACAAAAGTGCTCGGCGAAAGTAACCAAAAATGCACACTCAATGACGTAGTCATTTAATAGATTATTTATTGAATATCATGTGACCAACTATCCTCCAATCATGACAAGGATCTACTTAGATGTTGTATAATATATTTCTTTGCTCTCTTTAGATGCTGAGACATGTGTTTGAAGAGGAGAATTCTAACCTGAAGCAAGATTTGCAGGGAGCAAATGAAATCATCAGAGAGTTAAGGTATCTATAGTCAACCAATATGTCTTCTTCAGAAGTTACTGTAGCCTCAATGGGATAAGATGGAAACAGGGCCTGCCTTAGAGTGTACCAATCACCTGAACAAAATAATTTGTGAATAGCTAAAATGTATCAAATCAACCTTTATAAACTTGACCTAGCATGCATTCAATAGGTATTAGTTGAGGAGCCCTATTCTATCTGAGTGCGTACATGTGTGTTAAAACGTCTTCTCAACAAGAAGATTTACTGGATGCAAGCCACAAATCAATTGCGCTGCATTTAATTGTATCTCTTTTAATCCGTTGCCTTGCTTTCAATTACTAGTAACTCACAATCAATTTTTATGTTACAGAAAGATGCAATTCACTGTAAGATCTTTTTTGAGCAAGAATGTACATGCAGATGCAATGTAACTCCTCCTGTGGTTGCAGGTCGATTTTAATGTTAAATGATGGCTGGTCATTTATATGTCTCTTTATATGTCCAAATTGTCTGATGCACAACCCATTGCTTATGTTAATTGTATTCTCTGTGGCTCTTTGGTTGTTAGGGATAAAATCGAAAAGCTTGAAATGGAAATCCAGGATCTGAAGAAGGCCAGTGAGGATAAATCTCTGAAGGACTTTGACTACGTGACTAGGAAAGAGGCAGCCGATGTGAAACAGGAGGAGAAAAAGGTAGGAGGTAGAGAGAACAATTAAGAGAGATCGGAGAGAGAGAGATAGAGAGAGGGGGGGGGGGGGAGGGGGGATGAGAAAGAGAATGAGAGAGAAAGATAGTGAGAATGATGAGGAATCACAGAGAGAGAGAGAGAGAGAGAGAGATAATGTTGATAATCTCTGAAGGACTTTGACTATGTGACTAGGAAAGAGGCAGCCGATGTGAAACAGGAGGAGAAAAAGGTAGGAGGTAGAGAGAACAATTAAGAGAGATCGGAGAGAGAGAGAGAGAGAGAGAGGGGGGGGGGGGGAGGGGGGATGAGAAAGAGAATGAGAGAGAAAGATAGTGAGAATGAGGAGGAATCACAGAGAGAGAGAGAGAGAGAGAGAGATATTGTGGATAATCTCTGAAGGACTTTGACTATGTAACTAGGAAAGAGGCAGCTGATGTAAAACAGGAGGAGAAAAAGTTAGGAGGTAGAGAGAGAGAAAGAGTGAGAACAAGGGAGAATCACAGAGAGAGAGAGAGAGAGAGAGAGGGGGGGTGAAAGAGGAATGCAGGAAGGGGGTAGGGTGCTGTTAAAGGGACTTAGAACAGAGAGAGAATAAAACAAACTGCACAAGAAGATCAGTTAATAACAGAAAAAGAGAGAATTGAAGAACAAGATTTGTTGGTCAAATTGACATCATGTATATATTGTATATCCATGATATTAGGAAGGGCTTGTAATGCGTGAGAAAATAATGATTTTCAGGATTTTCAGTATTTCCTTTAGTTGCCATTACATAACTTCAGTCAAACCTTTTAAATTAAGGCCATCCAAGGAAAACACAAAAAGTGGCCACTATAGACCGGTTCTTCAGAGCATGTTTCCTTCTAGAGGGAAGCAATACAGTGACCACTATAGAGAGGTGGCCTGTATATAGAGGTGGCTGCTTAGACAAGTTTGACTGTACTTCTAAGATGAGAGAGGTTTACGCTGTATTTCATTCCATTTACAGCATGAACAGATGACATCGTCAGCTCAGACACCTGCTCAAGCATCATCAAGCGAGGGAGTATCAGTCGAAGCCTACGAAAGTCTGCAGAAAAAGATAATAACACTCAAGCAGAAGTTGGCTCAAGTGAGTTTGATATTTGTGGCGTCCCCCGCCTTCAGTCTCTCTATGTCAGGATTCCCAACTGGGGAATTTGATTTTACAATTCTTCATTTCTCATTTTTAGGATTGTAATTGAGTCTTAGAGAAGAGGACAATTTTAGGAATCCAAATTATCAAATAGGTTAAAGAAACAAATATTCACGTCAGGCCTCTTATTACATCACGACCGTGGAGGATCATTAAAATATTGTCAGTCAGTAACAGAGTAACATGCAGTTTGTGGCTAACAAATTTGTTTCATGATTTCTCCTTTGGAGGTATTAATTCATTTCAAATGCACGACACCTTTACATACTGTTTCACAGTACGTATACTTGGATTCCCAAATATGTGATATTTTGTAGTTCTAATGGCAAAATAAATGTGCAAAATCAACATATTGATTATTATGAGCCTTTTGATTATCATAAAGATTTTTTTCTTTGTTCTTCTACAACTCTCAATTGTATGAATTGTATTTTCTTTAGTTATGTGAATGTCCATATCATCTTGAATCAATTTTGCAGCATTGACTCACCCCTACCAGTTTAAACAATGCATAGTATGGTATGATTTGATTTGATTTATTTATTTCTGTTCGATTTTCTTTTTCAAATATACAAATATATAACTAACAAATATCTCATGGTATGGTATACATATATTGATTGCTTTGAGGGACATTTATGAAAACTATTGCCCAAAGTGATCTCGAAACTGTACTGTGCCCCTAGACAAAGTGCAGTCTCAAGATCGCAGAGAAGCTATAGTTGTAACCATGACCCCAAAAATATGCAGTCAATATTTGTTTATTATAAGATGATGACGTAGATCCTAATCAAATGATTGGTTGAAAGCGCACATGTGACCAGGCATTTATTTTGCCCGACGCGTAATCGCGCGTAATTTGGGTAATGACAGGTCATTATCCAATGGTAATGACCGGTCATTATCAAAATCATGTTAAAAAACATCATTTTGTAAAATAAATAAAACATAATCTTATAAAACAAATAATACACATCATTTTGTTCGGGCATTAGTAAAATAACCCTACCTTGGTACTTTCAAAACAGTCCAAACGCCCTCAGCTATCGCCTCAGGCGTGTTAGACTGTTCCAAAGGTACCTCGTGTGGGTAATTCTTACTAATGCCCTCACTGATGTGTATTATTTGTATACTATACTGCCCATGCAGTAGTCGGTAGCCAATTTCATGCCTGTGGTTTTGGCCAATCAGAATCTTCAAAAGCGGTATATGATAAAACATAGACTCGGCTGGTTCTATAGCAATGTTGATCATGATGATGTTCTTTCACCCACAGGTTGTGAAACTGAATCATTCTTGGGATGAGCAATACCATCGAATGGAGGTTGCTCTCAAACAAGAACTAGAGGGCACCAAACTGATGATGCAAGAAAGAAACCAAGAAGTGGAGAGGAGAGAGAAAGAGAGGGATGAAATTCTAGTTGCAGCTAAACATAGGATGGAAGAACTTGAGGTGGGTTCATAAAGTAATGGTCATAATATGATAGTCAAGGTGACAATGTGGTAGTCAAGGTGATGATGAGGTAGTCATGGTGATGAAGAGGTATCAAATTGATGATGGTAAAAAGGTAGTCCAGGGCCCCGTCTTATAAAGAGTTGAGATTGATTTGGGTCAATCGCATGCCTCCAATCAGTCGCAAGATTGCAGTCCTCTATCTCTTATGTACATAGTAATTGCAATTGATATCAACTGTTTATAAGACAGGGTCCAGGACTCGAGGTGAAGGTAATGAGTCTTTTTATAAAGATTATGGGGAAGAGATAGTCACATTGATATAACTGACTTAGTCAAACACTTGAGATTATAGTTATGGGGTTGCATGTGTAATATTATGGGGATGAGGTAATCAAGGACTCAAAGTGATACGATTAGATAAGATTATGGTCATGAGATGGTCCTTGTTATGTGATAGTCAAGATGATGATGATGTAGACAGTTCTAAGTGATGAAGTAGTCAATGACTCTTGTTGACAGTGATGGGGCTGTTAAGATTATGGTGATGATGAGGTAGTCAACGTGATGATGATGAGGTAGTCAAAGCAAGTAAATCTAGGGTCAAATTGATGATGATGATGATGATGATGATGATAGGGTTAGGGTTAGGGTGGTGATGAAGTAGTCAATGTGATGATTATGAGATAGTAAATGTGATGGTGATGATGATGACAGCAATATTGATGATGGTGATGATCAATTTGATGATGATGTTTTGATCCATATCAAGTGTTTGTTAATGAGTTACTGGTAGACCTGATCGATCTCATATGATTTTGTTGCCATTTTTCATTCTTTGTAGGCTGGAAAGGCCGATCTCCAGAAGAACCATGACCAAACCAAGCAACAGCTTGCTAAAGTGAACCGCTATGCTGTCTCCCTTCAGGGCCACAAACAAGAGCTAGAAACTGAGGTTAAGAGATTGAATGAGGTAAACCAATCAACTGTGTTTCATGATAATAATAATAATGACTAATTATATCATTGTTTAACAATGTTAAATCTGAGATGCATGGCCCTACGTGTTATCAGTGTCTGTGAAATGGTGTAACATTGAATCCCTAACAAAAATTGCGCTTCAAAATGATCAAGAAGTGTCTCAGAAAAGTAAAAAAATCTTTGAGTGACCGGTTTTACCATACTTGTTTTCCCCAATAGACTGTAGTGTTATGAAAACCGTTTGGCAAACAGTTTTTAAAATTTGTAATTCCAATCATAAATATCTTGATAATCAGACAGGTGATCGGCTTTCAAAAGTCCTGACTGACCTAAAGGTTTGTAATTATCATTGCAGCATGAACTAAATCCAGGATTTGATTTCAGAATCTGAGACAAAGTTACCAGATCCCTTTAAAAGCCGTATCCATTTCACAGAAATGCTCATGGCACTGAGAGTATACTTGAAAATGTAAACTACAATCAACCCTGTTTATTAAGGCCACCAAAGGGAACACTAAAAGTGGCCACTGTAGACAGGTGGCCTTTATAGACAGGTTCTTCAGCGCATATTCTAGGCAATACAGGTGACCGCTATAGAGAGGTGGCCTTTATATAGAGGTGGGCACTATTAAAAGACAGGATTGACTGTATTTAACTAGATGTAAATTGAAAAACAGACTACATGAAAAATATATTTCAGACTACAAAATTATGATAAGTTGACCAGATATACTCAAAGGAAATATACATGAATGACTTTACAAACTTGACTTAAGTTTATATAACTTTGAGTCGGTCTTGCTGGCCTTCTGACAACTTTCCGAGGATTCCAAAGACTGAAACTGCTTGTTGGCTGTCCATCTGCCTGGAGATCCCACAATGAACATCATAATTGCATACGTACATGTTTACAAAGGGTGTTAAGGAAAAAATGGAAATTTAGTAATTTGTTTTTAAATCACCGCAACTGACATCTGCGTCACCTATTCATAGGTGGTGTTGAATGCTACTTCATTGGTATAATTGTGGAGGGGGGGGGGGGACACAAACGAACATTTAAAATATGGTAAGTCTAGTGTAAACCACGATTCAATTATTCAGTGAAACACAGCAGTCATCATAGAAATGCACTAGCTCATTGAGCAAGGGTGATATTCAATTCTGTGGACCTTGGTAGACCTACAATTGGCTGTCATAAGATACATGTAACCAACTTTGTTATTAATTTCATAAATTACATCCCAAAACAGAGATTTTGATGTGGTATTGAATATATATATATATATATATATAGGCTATGCACCTGAAGTATATTTATTCATAACATGTTATCCCAGTGGTTAATTGGTAATCTTTATCCCTTTACAGTTGGATGACTTGTTCCCTTTAAACCTAGACATATAATTTGTGATTTCCTTAATCCATTATTCATACTTTCATTTTCATAATTTGGTGCTCATAGCACTTCAGATACTGGCCAAACTAGTCTGAGGTTCAGTCATTATTGGGTTGAAAAAGACCAAAGATAGAGTATGGGTTGTTTTAGTTAAGCCATAAAATGGCCAACTAAATTAACCCCCTAAACCTTCTCCCATTATGGTCCTTTCAAAGAAAATATATTTTTATTAAAGCCCCTCTGCACTAGTTTGGCCAGGAGGGATTAGACCTCCATGCATGGTCACTGACAGGTGATTATCTCATCAAATCAGCTCTCAATTAACATAAGAAAAAGGGGACCATGGGGGCCTAGTGGTCACCGATTAGGCATCATTTGCTGTATAGAGGGCTCAAGTACCTATAAGTAGTGCAGTAGGGCTTTAAAAGTGTAAATGAGAATAAAAAATAGATATACTTTGAGTATAAATTAGAAAGCCTGTACCAAGTCTACCAACCCTGTTATTGTTCTGTAAATCCCCTTCTGTGAAATTTCCAATGCAGAGTTTCATTTTAAACTGATACCACAGGGAGGCAGGAAGGAAGCAAAGGAAGGAAGGCGCACCAGATTATACATTATAACAGCAGGCAGTCATTAAAAAAAACCCTCAATATATTCTATTGCTAATGCACACAAGGACCTTGATCCATGCATAGGCTATATTTGAATATGAATTTCAATAATTAATGATTGACTGCCCGACCTTATGCTCTATCAATTTGGTATCACTATGGCTGTTCAAACATATAAACATGCAGGGATAAATCTGTATAGTTATATAAAGTGTGATGCAAATGACCTTTGGAGAGTACGTAATGGGCCTTTTAGAAGTATTATTTATGTTTTGCTACCAGAAGGTATGTAAGTGAATACATAAGGTGTGATGTATAATGATTAAGTTCAGTTCTGGTGATGGGATTGCATTGTGAAAGAATCTATCTGAAACCATGTAAAGGTTGCTTTACTGAGCTTAAACTTAATAAGTAGTACATAACAACATACTGTTTGTTTTGGAATGACTAATATAAAAAGAAGTGGACCCAATCATGCTAAAATCACATGCACTGCTCACAGATATGGGTTTATGTGACTACACAAATATTTAAAGTTATTCCTATCACGTATTAAGTGGTCTGTAAAATGACACCTGGCTGGAATGCTCCCAAGGGAGTGGAGAATGTGCACACATTGTGTGTGGGCAAGCCTGAATCCGATGACTGGGATAATATATCTGTAAATTAAGTGCTTAGATACATTGTTGAATAAGCACTATATCAAAGCAGAATATTCATATTATTATAAGGCATTGGTAGAGGGATCTTTTTCAGGGGATATTTATACAGTGTGAGTCAAAAAAAAGTTTACACCTAGAAAATTGCTAATTATTTTAAAACTCATCTATGAAAAGTAAATTGTTATACATCTTATGAAAGAGTGTTTTACCCCAAATCATTGGTATCATTTTTGTGTGGTATATTTTCACTTTTGGATGAACAGGGGGCATTGTTTGCGAGAGTGCAAAAATCGACTTGCCCAAAGTGATGCCTACAGCATGTATTATGTTGGGATTAGTGGAGTGAGAGAATGAATTGAATGTATCAAATGAAATGCATTGCATATGCTTTTTGCAGAAGCAAAGTCACACACACGCACGCTCCAATGTTCTTTGATGTTTGATATTCGATATTTGATATGTGTAGCATGATTAATGTTGTTAAGGATGTTATTTGGATCTGCAAAAACCTATTTAATTCCCCAATCCCAATTGTTTTATTCAAACATTACATGAGCAACTTTGGTGCTAGTCGATTTTTGCACTCTCACAAACAATGCCTCATGTTCATCCAAGCATGAACACATACCACACAAAAATGATACCAAATGATATGGGATAAAACACTCTTTCATAAGATGTATAATACTTTACTGTTCATAGATGATCTTAAAAATAATTAGCAAATTTCTAGGTGTAAACTTTTTTTTGACTCACACTGTATTCTTCCAAACTGAAATACAAAGAATGAGTAAGCTCACAAATGATCTTTTGTCTTCAACTAAACTCAAATTTCCTTTTAATTGTAAATTGATCCAACCTGCAATTTATCATTCATGTATGAAACATTATGAATATCATACAATTATTCCCACAGGCTCTTGAGCAGAAACTCCAGGTGAAGGAGAAGAAGCCTGTTGCTGTGGCGCCGCCTCCTTTCCGTCGTAACGAGATGAGCAAACCCAAGAAAGGAGACGAGGCAATCCTTCTTAGTCATGAAGAAAGATCCATCCTTGCTAGCTTGTCACAAAATGAACTAATTGAAGAACTTGGCCTACTCAAACAACAGGTACGGATGAAGCACAGAGGGATGGCTCTTTGCATTTCTAGGTCCCATCAGTCCTATTTATATACCAACTCTCATTGGTTGTTATTCCAATTGTCCCTAATTCCATCGACATTAAAGTCTACACCCAATTGATCCCAAAGTTCGGTATTACATTTGACTGGTCCTCATCTGGATCCCAGCTTTTTGTCCTTACATGTACATGTACTCCCAGTGATTATCCATCTCAATGGTCCTATATGTATAGCGATGGGCCCTGAATGTTAGGACATATAGTTTTTGGACTATTTCTTTAAATTGGTCCATTATAGGACCAGTGCCACCTATTACTTGGCTACTAGGCCTTTATATTATTGGGGATGAGGTAAGAGAGCAAACTACATGTAAAGGCATTATTGCCAGCGTGTAATTGTTCAAGTGGGATGGGTTGATGTTTTTTGTGTTTTTTACGCGACTACCCCATGCAATATTAGCATGTGTGTTACTTGTAAGTAAGCAACTAGGGGACAGAAGGCTTTAAGTCCTTGACTTGCTAATAAGAATTAATGCCTTACCAAAGGGCACTCTTGCATCGACTTGGTTTCTAACCTGGGAACTCTCTGCTGTGAGACCACTGTTATACCACTGACCCATTGCGTCTAGTCCTGTGGCACAAGTTTGGAATAAAGAAAGGACGTCAGTACCTAACAAAATAATACAGCAATTATTATGCGCCATTGATCTAGTAAACTATTCTGAGGCGCAGAGGGATAGAATTAGAATGAAATACATAGAAAAATGATAAGGGGGAAAAATGCATAGATGTATACATTCAACATATAATTAACTAAAATACCATGCAAACATATATGACTTTAGATTCTTTTTAAATGTTTCTAGGGATTCTAGTGATTGAATCCTCAGAGATGCATCAGACTTGTATGATTTAGTGTGTATTTTCTCACTGTGTTGTCATGGTTTGATTCAGGTTGATGTGTACAAGAGTGATTTCTACAAGGAGCAGAGAGATCGTCAACGAGCCAATGGTGAAGTGGATGAGATCAAGACGGAACTGCACAGGACCAAGAAGAAGATGGAGAAACAGAAGCAGGAAGTAAGCTTAACACTTTGCTTGCTTTCTTCACCTCTCTGAACGTTCTCTCATTTGCCACATGTGCAATTTTGTACAAAATAATAGGCAGCGAGTGAGAGACGGAATACTTGCGCAACACAATGGCTGTGCAACATTACCCATTTGATTCAAATTACCCGTTTTGATAATAGCTCTATGACAATCCTTTGAACACAGGTATAATTAATCTTGCAGTGGAAACATTAAAATGATCTTGAAGTCTTTGGTATATCTATCCCATGATTAATTTTTTGATGGAGTAAACCATGTAACCTAACAACATGTTGCTGTGCTTGGAAAGGGATAAACATCAAATGAATTAATAGGAAATCAAAATAATGGGACAAGATGCAGGATGAGAGTGAAATGGGAATTTGTACGGATCTTTTTTACTTTTTACTTAACCTATATCTGCTCTTTTTATTTCCTAATTTTGCCTCTCTATCATCAGCTCCAGATTATGAAGGACCAGGCCCTGGCTTACCAGTTCCATGCAGATGAACAGAAGCGTCCCGCTGCTGTTCCACGTCGAGAAAGACCACGCTCATCGGTAAGATATAAACCTACATTAAAGCTCCTCAAGCGTGGGTATATAGAGGGCAGGACACGGACACACTGGAGCGTATATAATACCCATTGGCTCAGTGTTATGTAGTGATCGGGAGTCATCGCCAAGTTGCCTACTTCACTCATGAATGACTTTATACCCACTCATGAACATCTTTATCTAAATTTGCCACACTCTACCCAGGTGTGGTAAACGGTTACATGGCTGGAATTAATTCCCTGAAATGCTTTAGCGCCACAAAGGCAGCCATGCTAAAGCGGGGTAATTGATTGATTTGATTTGATTTGATTTTATTTATTCATCATCAATAACATCAGTGATTAAACATTTGAATACATCGTGAATGGTACATGTTCATAAATGAATATTATAGATCATATTAAAGAAAAACCTAACAAAGTATTGATATGCTAGACATATGTCTTTTCTCATAGAATATAGAAGGTGATGAAAGGAGCCAATACTTTTGGAGTGCCAGGAGTGTGTAGTCTGAAAGAGTGACCTGTTCCTTTTATCTTCCTGGTTCTATTAAAACCATCTTAATATCAGGGCGGACTTCCCCATAAAAGATTTGTCCAGTCACAATTGCAATATTTTCTTAGCAGTATGTGCACAATATACATGTATATATCCATCATGCACATGTTAAATGTAAACTATTTGATGAACTATTTGATCAAAATCAGTTTCTCATGCAAACATATACCAGATTATTTTTTTCAGTACTGACAACTATAAGTGAAAATACAACATGAAAAATACAACAATGTATGTCTCAATGCATGTGGCAATATGTATGTTATATTATTTTTTAATTTTCTTTTGCCTGACAATCACAGCCTATAGTAGCTTGTCTTTATGGATGATTTATTTGTTTCTTTGATTCATTTATACTCTCTTTTAATTTTGTTTTTCTTCATTTATTGGTTTTAATTTCCTTTTTCATTGCTTTGACATGTACTCAGAATCCTCAGGATAACGTGTATGAACTCTTAGGTGTTGACCGAGCCCAAAACTACCCTCGACGTTACGTTAAACAGAGGAAAGAGAAAGTGAGGATAAAAGTAGATTATTTAAACTGTTTGAATCACATAAAATGACAAGCACCATTATTAATAGATCAGTTCAATGGTGACACATGCTTTCGCAATATGGCACAGCACTTAATATTCTAAACTTACAAAATTTCTAATTTCGAAACTAATTCATAAACTAAACCAATCCTTAATCTAACCTAAAATCCAATTGCAATTCTAGTCTTAGCCTTTATCTTTGATGAAATGAAGCATTTAGTGAATGTCGCCATTGCAATTGTTTGGCCACCGTAGAGTTCTTAAAGCCACACTGTACTAGAAGCCCTCCCCTTACCACCATCTCAGGTCACATGTAGCAGTATGTTCCCATCGTTGAAATTAATGGATAATTATGTATGATGAATGCTGGAAAATATTTACCCTATAACCTACTAAAAGTATTTTACAATTTAGTTTGATTACGAAAGATACTTTTACATTATTATGCTATAAAAAATATTTTAAAAAAATCACAATTTTGTAAAGGTTGCTGTTCACATGAATTCAAAACTTTCTAACTTGCCATATTCCTGTTAAACAGAAAGCATGTACTATTAGCAATGGTAGATCACAGAGTTCCACATTTTGTGTTTTGCCACATCATTAGTTGATTAAAAGTCCTCATATTCTTCATGCATGTTATTACATTACAAGATGTTTTCATTTTGTTGCATGATCGATGTTGTCTGGTGTACGTGATACATTTTTTGAAATTCATATGGCATGTGTATTCACTTAATAAAAATATGCAGTTTATATAAAGTTGGAGCTTACTACTTTGCTTGTTCTTTCCCTGATAGCTAGGGACCCAGCTAGCAGATCTGGCAGAAGTCATCCCTGCAAATGCTCCTTGATTTACTTAACTTTTATTTTCATTTTTCACTTTACAATCAACTACTCATCTTCTCAACTTCTCTTTGAACTTAGTAACATTAAGAACATGGTACTTTCTAAGAATGAAAATAACCAGGCATATGCTAGGGCAGGGATAGAAAAAATGGCTCTTTTGTTTCATTAATGTGTTCAATGGGCAGATAAATACATCCCTTTTTAGATGTAGATGTATAGTACCACTAACAAATATATTTGGACAATTCCAAGTTAGTTATATATATATATATAATATATGTCATCTATATAATATTTTATATATATTATATATTATCTGTATGCATTATATATCATGTATTATATGCATTATATGTATCCTATGTATTATACAAAATGTGAGTAATATTGTATTCTATATATCTATCATATAGGACTTGGTTCCTCATGGAGTCAACTATGCCATGAATGATGAGTATGTCGACGCCCAGGAAGAATTCCAGATCTGCTATCCCCCAGACTCCTCCGAGCATGGCACTCTGGATAGGTAGGTTGATCCACCCCGGCCTCCCTCAAGGTTGAGCTCTGGGCCCTGTTTCATTAAACTTCTTATCAATCACAAATGCTAAATTTCTATGACAAATTTGGTTTCAGCCAATCAAATGCCCCGATTTCAGTAGCTTTTAACAGTTATTGTAACTTGTTATTGATAACAAGTGTTATGAAACAGGGCCCTGATCGTGAGATTACACCGTGAAAGAACTTTCTGGAAGCAATAAGCCACTTCGGATATACTTTCTGCGCATGCCGGGGCAGATTAAAGGTCATTTGTACCACAATTGTAAAACCCATTGAGGCGACTGCTGGATTTATGTTCATGAAAGTTATGCAATCATTATTCATTTATGCACCAACGGTATATTTCATGGAACATAGGCTGAAGTATTCTTTTTAGGGGCAAACACAATGGCCCAAATTCACAAAGGAGGTTTGTCGACAAACCTAGGTTTATGTGCGACATATGACGCGATTTGACACGTTTTAAATCTAGGTTTGTTTTGAAAGTTGAAACGCATCGAAACGTGTCATATCACGCACATAAACCTAGGTTTGCCGACAAACCTCCTTTGTGAATTCGGGCCAAGGTGTTCATGAAGCACCTCCATCACTTTGGCAGTGATTATCCTAAAACGTACAGTGTGTAACTTTCCATGTTTGAAGGATCTGTGACTATTTGGGGTCATTTGTGCAAGTGCTATCTCTGAAGTGGCTGTATTGGGAAAGGTTGATTATATCAGAGAGATGTCAGCATCTCCCTGGTTACCTAAGAGTTGATGTATAATGTGAGATTTTTTAAACGATAAGAGATTGACTTGACATGCCTGAAAGTCACATGCGATGCTATCTGAAAGAAGTATGTGGGACTACACATGTGTGGCTTAAAAGTATGGTCCCAACTTTTCAGCTTTATTTCATAGTGTGAATATTATTATTATTATTATTATTATTATTATTATTATTTATTGGGCAAAAATAAAATCAAGAAAACTGTGAATACAGTATGATTTGAAGTGAGTCACATGGAATCCGGGAAAGAAAAATATTGACTAAATAACTGTTATGAGGCTGAGGTAAAGAGCAAAACTTTTCAGGACATTTCTTCTCTAAAAGCTCACATATTATGATTCTCCTTTACCATGCAGACCCCAAATTTCTCTTTAACCAAAGGTTGGAAAATTGAAATTCTACAGAGATGTGAATCAAAAGTATATGATATATTCTTACATAATTTGAAGATACTTTATTTTAAAAAGCAGAATGTAAAAGGTTTCACTTCAAATTAGATTGGGTACCGGTATATTAAATATACATACCACCTGTGCCAATATTTGACTATTGAAATTGTTATTGTGTGTTTAGTTCTTTGTAATAGGCATTTATTACTCTACCTGTAAAATGGAAGTATTATTTCATGATTAGTGTAGACCAGGGCATATATAAGACGTTAGGAGCTTGTATTTCGGATGAAATCATCATCCGCTGATTTTAAAGACGATATTTATGTTAAAGTTTAAAAAAAATTGGTACTGAATACTTAATACCATAAATCATTTAATTGATTATTAATTTTTTTATGTAAAAGAGTTCTTGCAGATTTGAGACAATAAACAAGGAATTGTAGAGTTTTAAAGATTGATTTATTATGTATTGTAATGCTAACATTTTTTTCTTTTTCTTCACATTATTTTTATTTTCTAGGAGTGATGACCATTTCCTCTTTACCCAGAAGTAATCATGATATGAAGTTTAAAAAAACCTCCTTTATTTGATTTAACTCACTTGTATTTATGAGCAAGTTTGTCAAAATATATTATGCTTTTCAAAATGAAAGTATAAAGAAAATGTGCAAAATATCACAGAATTTAAACACAAGATGCATCAGTTAATATGAATAGCATTGTGAAAGTTGTATGTTTGTCAAGCAAAGCGAAGAAAAATATAACAAATCAACAAAAGGTGTCGTCGAGTGGATACGTCTCCGGACCGGATCGCTTAGTCTATCGTTCGAGTCCCGCCGCGGCACTAATGTCATTTGGCAAGACATTAATCTAAATTTACCACATTTGACCCAGGTGATGTAAGTGGGTACCTGGCTGGAATTAAATCCTTGAAATGCTAAAGCGCCATAATGGCAGCCATGCATGCTAAAGCTAATTAACTAGTAAATGTTTATGGAATATCTTTTTCATTTAGAGTACCATGCTTACCATGTAATAATTATTTTGAATACAAAAATATCTTTATAATATCGTATACGTATTCATATATACTTTGTAACTTCATTTCCATTATGGTTATTGCCAGAAATGCTTATATCCTCCTATACAATCATTAACCTACTGGCATCAATGGAATATAAATCCAATGTCAATCAAGATATAGATATATAATTATATTTTCATAATATTTATTAATTATTACTTCAAGAGTATATTAAGTACTTGATGTTATGTAATTTTCTTGGTGTATTTTTGAATGATATATTTGGTATCTAGTCTTGAAACATACATCCTCTTCTTTTGCATACAGAGTTTAAGGTTTGTTACTTTTTTAATTTTGAGGACGGAATTTTGAAAACTACCGGTATGATATAGGAAATATTAGATAAGTGTACATACTTACACTACTTTTAATCTTCAATAAGGTTTTCCAAAATTTGAAACTATAAGGCTTCTTACTGTACTTGATTTTTAAGTTCATAAAGGTACCAGTAGACACTTTTCTGTAGGAATACTAAGATTTATATACATATAAGCTAAGCGCTAAAAAAAATACCTGCTTGTTCATCATCGTCATGGTTATAAAAGAATTGATCTCTTCTGTGCTATATGTGGCAAAACACGGTCCAAGAAGGTTCATGGTTTTACCAAAATTTGGACTAAAAAAGAGCTACCTGAAACATCAAATTTAAATACTAGTACCTGTCCATGTTCTTTACACAAAAAAACTTTGAAACCAAGTTTTACAATGAAACAAAGAAATTTGTGCGTCATTCATATTGAGTAGCATTCCTTTGTTACACATATAGCACTCTTATACCTGTATTTGAGATGACCGCTAAGGGCTAACAAAGTAGAACACTTGCCGTTCAGTAGATTTTAATTATGTCATTAGTGAAATAAATGTACATGTGAAAAGTGGTCTATGGAGCCATGGTTTTATATGTACATGTATGTGCCAAGATATATTGCTCAACTGGAAAATGGAGATATTTCTTAAATTTCATCCTGGCTGAATTGGTGGTCAGTCATAATGTAGAAGACGTATGTATACTCCTGGACTTTTGAAGTCGTCAGGGTACACATTCCAGCAGAAGGGTTAATGTCATCTAGCGAGGCAAAAGTCTATATTTGCCGCTCCATACCCAGGAGAGAAATGGGGAACTAGCTGGGAGTGTGTTGAATGATGTAGTCTTCAGTCAATGTGATGTGGAATAGTAGATATGTTGATCTGGATTTGGTCAAGCTACACATCCCAGCAGAAGGGTTAATGTCATCTAGCGAGGCAGAAGTCTATATTTGCCGCTCCATACCCAGGACAGAAATGGGGACCTGGCTGGGAGTATGCTGGAAGCTACATGTGATCTTGAATTAGCCTCCTGCTCATGTCTCCTGCCAGCGCAATGGTGAGGGATCTTCAGGGCGGTACAATCCAATCTATTCAGCGCTAAACACTTTGTAAACTAAGAAGTGTATTATTTTATGAAATATTTTATGAAACATGAAATATAGCTATGCTCATGCTGGTGCAGCGATTGAAGATATTAGCTGAGCCCTCATAATTGAATGAGATTAGCATGTGTGTAAAATAGTGTTAATCTTGATCTAAATGTTATCTCTAATGATATGGATTACTGTATAAACCGTTGTGATATTTTGTGATAGACAATTTCCCATATGTGGAATAGACATTGAATACATTGATTGTATGTTTATGGGGTCGTAATGGGAATAGGGAGATATTCAAAATCATTGATTTCACATAAGTAGATAATGGGTCATGAAATAAATTTTGCCCTTGTGTGGCATTTTTATTAGGTAATGATATATCGGATGGCAAATTTGTGTGTGTGTGTGGGGGGGGGGGGGTAGAGGAGGTATGCCAAATCATAAATTACCGATAATTACACAAAAAAGAAGGAAGGAAGCGTTCAAAGCTTGTAAAAATAAATTTCCTTCACAGCTTTCCTGGTAAGAGAACAGTTATGCAGAAAACACCTTCTTATCACTCGTCAAGTAACAGTATCGAATGTTGATTTGTAATGAAAACATGGTTGCGAGCCTCTATCAATTCATCTACTCGGAGGGATAAGGTTGTTGAGTCCTCTAATGTTATACATGCCTCATAGTCTATGCAAAGGTCAAGGGTTCAATTCCTGACATAGCACATATGTCCTTAAGCAAGGCATTTCATGTACCTTACTTCTCTCCATCCAGGTATTCAATGGGTACCTGGTAGGATGTAAAAGTCATTGTAGCTTGCTCATCATTGTGAGCATCTGTGAGCATATGACACCTGGCTCAATGCTCCCCAGGAGTGGAGATAGAGCATATATGGTGTGGTGGCAAGCATGAATCTGATGTAGCGGTATGTGTATAACATGTACATACATTGTAGAATGTAGATGGATTAAGTGCTATATAAACTCAGAATATTTGTTTACAGACTGAATACCTTTCTGTGTCTTAGTGGATGAATTGATAGAGGCAGATTTTAGTTTTGTTCAGTATTAAGTCAGTGAAATGTTATCATTTTCAAATGTTTATCGCAATGGCAGTGGCTGCATATAAAGGAAAGTTTGAATCGAAGTCTTGTTCACCTCGGAAAATATCTTAAACCTACCTCACTTATGCCTAGGTCCTAGTACCGCCGCACGTATCTCTGGATTTCGGGGGCGTTCAGCCGCCGTATCCTAGCCGTAGAGCAAATGTGACGTAGGCATTGATCCCTAAGTGGCATCTTAGAACCTTCCCATAGAATGACCTTCACTCCTTGATGATCATTATGAATTTTAGAACTGATTTAATACTATATCTAACCCTAACCTGATCACAAACCCTAAACTGAACCCAAACTGGTTCTAGAGGTCCCCCCCCCCCCCCCACCCTGGGTTAAGTGCCCTCAGATTCCTTCAAGCCCCCCCCCCCCCCCTCCCCCATCTTTTTTGCAAGGCTTAAAGAGAGTACAAATGCAAATACCTCAAAGCTCCCCCTCATTATTCTAGAACTGTCCTGTCTAAAAGCCCAATCACAAAACTATACTGAAAAATAATGCAATGAAACAATCGTTGCTGGAGTAAATGTCCAATTACCAGTGATACACCTGGGCCCTGTCAGTTTCCAACAAAATGTGTCACAGTTCTATAACAAATTTGCTGACAGCTAGGAGCTTACAACAGTCATGTAACTTGTTATTGATATCAAGTTTTATGACACAGGGCCCTGTACTTGGTTTAGTTTCTGAGAACACAATGCTCCTCTTTACAAAGACCTTCACTTTCTCTACCCCCCCCCCTCCCCCTCCTTCCTCTCAACTATCCCTTCTCCAAGATGCCACTCCTCTCTCATTTCCATTGGCTGGACAGACTCAAGGACGAAAGAGACAAAAACTGTGTCTGAAATATGATTTGACCCGTGTGATCAAGAAAGTTGAGTTGGAACACAAGTGACATAATTTTTTGTCTGTCATTTAGGAACCTAGGACACCTTAAAATATACTCTTGAGGAACATTTATGTATTGACCAGTTCTCTGGTGAAATTGATATATCATTTTGTTTTATCAAATTATAGCACAAAATTATGTTTTGTGCCATATTAAAACATATTTCCAGCGGAATCCAGCCTCCTATAACCTTTTTCAACCATCAAAATAATTTACAGTACTTTTGTTTGCCTAATTGTGCAATTAAAAAAATACATCTTCGATTTCCTAGTATATTGAAATAAAATTTTATTTCATCAAATTTATAGCTTGAAATCATGTTTTGGGGGCTCCTATAATAGAAAAAAAGGAGAGTATACAGTGGTGGATTCCTAAATGGCAGTTCAAAATGATTAAATGAAGTAGACAAAAGCAATTATCTGTTTTCAAGGGGTGCATTTAGTGCTGCGTATGATTTGTACAACGACAGCTACTAATATTTAAAACCCTCCAATATGAGTGCCTTATTTTAACATACTGTAGACTATGCAAAAGTATGGGATTATGTGCAATGATGAATGTGTAGTATACTGATTATCAACTCGTGTATATTTCTTCTTCCTGTAAGTTTCAATCAATTCAATTCATTACTCTGTTTAAAAAAAATACAAAACCTGATTAAAAAAAAAAAAATCATCCATACATACCTCAATAACTTTATTCTCATTTATGTTGAGACTATCAAAGAATATGCTAAATTTCTGAAATAATGTATAATGTACAATTTTGATCATATACAACCATTTCTGAGAGAAAAATGGAAAAACTTTTGGTCTGTCAAAAACGTGTGTGATATTCATTCAACAAAATTTTCATAAAATTGCATATTGTTCTTTCGTAAATATATGTACAGAATTGCAGATTTACTTGCCACTAAATCCAATTAAGTTGTCACATCTTAATATTTGGATGATTATAGTCACATTGTAATTCTATGAAGTGATAGTTACATGGTATTCTGTTGACTTTAATGTACTTAATTATGGATAAGTATTTATTTTTACCTGCTTTGTCACTTGTCACTGTGTTCCAACTCCAACTTTCTGCACATGTTTGTCGAAAATGAAAATTTGGCGTGTAATCAACATACCTGTTGCAGCCCTGCCTTGTTTTGTCTACATCATCATTATAATCACAGGTGCTACATCTATTTTGTATTTTTTATATAATGATTAATGATATCAGTATGTAGTATAAAACATTTGTGATTAATGTATAAAGGAGCGGTCATGCTAGTCATGTTATATTGTGATATAAACATTGTATGTTATTAGATGAAGTTGTAGCATTAACATTGAACATTTAGTCACTGCGGTTTGTTGCATTTGATTTTTCACCAAAGTTATAGTGGCGGGTCTGAGTTTTGGTTTTCTGTTTCATGAAGTGATTTTGTATAAATGAAATATAATGTTTAAAGGTTTTTCAAGTCTGTTGTTCTTAAAAGGTAGGATTTGGTGTGTTATGAATATTGAATATTTGGAAGGGTTGAGGTTAGTTGCCGATTTGCCATGATGTTAAATGAAAAATTGTCACATCCTGTTTGAGGTGGGAGGGGGATAAATCTAAATGTTGATCAGTGTTATCAATAAAACTGGTAAATTACTCACACTTTTAGGAGAACAAAAACAACTTTATTGCCTGCTTTGCTCTGTTTTACCTGAAAATTCATGTAGCTTTTTGTATAAAACATTGATTTAGTGTAAATACATGTATAGTTACATAAATGATACATGTTGCTTCCATTTTTCTTCTTTTTTAAAGTTCTCATTTATAAGCATTTTGTAAGTAAAACAATGCAACATGATATTTCTATTATCATGATATATTAGATGCTATCTTGTGTAGATTACTATCAAATGTCTTTGATGTAAAAAGAAACACTGAATTTACTCATGTTTGTTAATTATTGATATACTCGGATAATATTTTCTGATTCTGCAGGTAGTGTCTAAGAATTTTTGTCTTTTTTTTGTTCTTGTTTCTGTTTTAATTGTGTGAATTGTGGTATACTTGTACAGTCATG